GAAATGTGGCCAAATTAAAATCTAGGAAAAAGAAATACTTTTTCGCATAATGCATATGGCTGTGGAACGCATTGCCGCATGATGCTGCAGCCAAGAACTTAATAGGATTTAAAGAGGGAGCAGGTTTCAGAGTAACAGCCGTGTTAGTCTGTATTCGCAAAAAGAAAAGGAGTACTTGTGGCACCTTAGAGACTAACCAATTTATTTGAGCATGAGCTTTCGAAAGCTCACGCTCAAATTGGTTAGTCTCTAAGGTGCCACAAGTACTCCTTTTCTTTTTTTTAAAGAGGGAGCAGACATTTATATGGATAACAAGTGTATCCAGAGTTGTTTAGTTAATGTTAAAAAAAAAAGTTTAAGAAGAGCTATAAAACCTCATGCCTCAGGGTTTGAACAAGGCTCTAACTATCGGAGGTTAAGAGAAGACTTTCATGTGGGGCAGGTTAACCCACTTCTGCTTACTACTTTGTGCGCTTTCCTCTGAAGCAGTTGGTGCAGACTACTGAATTACATGGACCTGTCTGATCCAGTCTGGTAATTCCTACATTCCTTATTGAAAATACTAGTTATCTGAAAGTTTATATATATAAGTAGTATTTTCAATAAGGAATGTAGGAGTGTGTGTGTGTATTTATATATAGCTACAACAATGGCCAAGACAGAAGTAATAATGAGACTCCTGGCCTATGTGTTTGAGTCTGTAAACAGTATACATGATTACCAGAAACTGTATAGCTTTTGACTGGCTTGAGAAATAGATGATTTTTTGCTGATCTGACTATATTAGCAAAGGTTCCCTTTTTGGATGGCTCACTTTCTCATTTGAATTCTGACGGTAGTTCATAGAGTGGAGAGCAAACTCATATGACCAGTGTCTGTGCTTCTGCCATGTGAGGTTTGACCAATTTATGGTTTGTTACATATTGGAATCGGGTGTTGAATACAAGGTTTTACATGGGTGTAAATTTTGGGAGACTTGATGCCTGAAAAAATTACAGTGGTTTAGACCAATGATTTGGCTACAGCAATATGCAGGATTGAGTTGGTGAAACTTGTTCCTTGTAGCGGAGGAAGTGGAAGTGACATGGCACTTATGGTATCCCTAAGGTGAAGGGATAAAAGGCTACATCCACTATTCTGTTCTGTTTAGGTTCTTATACCATGGGCCATGAGCACCATTTAAAGTGTAAAAAACTTTTACAAAGTACGATACATCAACAAATTAAAGTGATGTTTCCTCTCCGTTTTCTTCTCGTGCAGCCCTCCATGGATAGTAATTTCTACACTTTAAATTCCTTCTCTGACCTAAATACTAATAGGGTGTGTTGTTTTGTGGGAAAGAGTGGTCAAAGATCTGAGATTTTTTTTTATTACATTTGGATCTGAAAATTGGTGAGCCTATTGGCTAATCTTAGCCCTCTGGGAGTGAATTCTACAACAAATCTGCCAAGAAAGCTCCTGTGAGCTTTGCCTTTGTGGTAAATAGTTCCTTTATTCATGAGGATCAGAGCTGTTGAACAATTGAGAGCTGGAGGATGAGGTGAACTTTTAGGTACCTTGGTACCAGTTTTTTGCAGGACTAGAATCTTGATGAAGTTCAGTAAGGAGCTTGTGGAAAGAGTGGGACAGGGGAGATATTGATCCTGTATCTAGGTTACAGGCTATAGACTGATGTGCTAAGGAACTGCTGTTCATTAACTTCTCAGTCAGCTTGCTCAGGAATAGGAGATTTGACTGCAGGTGGTGGAAGTCTTGTTCTGTGTAATCAACAAATGTTTCAAGATTGGTCTTGCTGTAAACCAGGAGAGACAGGTCCTTCGTTGAACAAGGCACTGGCAATCTGTCAGATACTGTAGCTATTCTTGAAACTTTCCCCAGCCAGGAAGGGCAAAGAACTGACTTGCAAGTGGAGGCTTCTGTTTCATTCACTTTGTCCAGTGCTTCCTGATGTGTAGAAGGATCAGACTTGGGGAAGGGAGGTGTCCAGGTATTGAAGTTGTATGTAATGTTTGGTTCTGTGTACCCCAAGAAACTACTGGCTATATAGGGGATGTTCTCAGTAAGGAAGAAGATAGCAGAAAGTGGTACTGGATTCTTCTGCAGGCTACAGTCGGTTGGGCTTCATTAACCAGAATAGCTTTTTTGGGTGGCTTCTACAGAAGATGAGAAAAAAGATTTTAGCCTGTTATTTTGCCTTAGTGTATTTTTTACATATTGAAAATTTTTGTTTCAATATTTCTACCTTATCTAGATTTCAGTGCTCTAGTTTCTTTTCATATTATGCTAGTCACATAGAGACCTGTGTGAATGATGTGAAGGCAGAATGTTGTTTGGGAGCTGTTATTTTGATTACAGTGGTTAATGTGTGGTCATAATGATGCACAACTTGATTGCTCCTTGGTCCCTTGCTGGGCTGTTGCTGCTGAATATCAGGGTGGATAAAAATAGATTTAAAAAAAAAGTTCATTTGTTTAAATTAAATGCATTTTCTTTTAAAAAATAAACCTATTTAAAAATTATGGCAACGGATATTAAGGCTTAAAATTATTATTTATTAAATCATTTAAATTAAATAAAAAAAATCAACCAGTACATGTTTGCTGACAAATTTTAAAGAAACCACTGAACTAGTGAAAGTTACTGGCTAAGCACCTGGCACCAGAATTTGTTGAAGTACTAAACCCAGCTTTTGGTAGCAGTAGCCTCTTCTGCAGGTGCAAAGAGAATATTTTCTTCATTTCAGTATATTCAGCTATTTTACTTCAATGATTAGTTCATTCAAAGTTGAGAAACTGATGAGGAGTTGAAAAAGCAGGAAAGCTTATTTTCCTCCTTCAGTCTATGAATAAAACTGAGGTGAGAAAGGAGCTCTATTGGTTCTAAAATCTTGAAGGTCGTGGTGACCAGAAACAATAAGTTCAGTTCAATAACTACAGATAATGTTACTTTTGTTTAAAAAAACAACCAGTTTTTCCAAAATGTAAAACGTATTAATAAACCTGCTATTTTGTTAGGTATCCAGTACATTTAAAGCAGTTTTGTTTTATGTAGTAAACAATTTTTAGATGCTGTTCTTGTGTGTTTTTAATTGAATTCTAGTTTTCATCCAAGTGCAGCTTGACAGAAATCACAAGTAAAAAATTAGTCTAGTAAGGAAATGGATCATTTTCTAATATAAAAATATATAAAAATGAAGAATATGAATAAATGTATATATATTTAGCTATATAATTGTTTAAATGTGTATAGATATAATGTATGCTTTTGGTTAGCCAAAAAGTACCAACGACGACATATAGGATAGATACAGCTTCCTCTTCATTTCAAATACAGAACAGAAATACCTAACGAATATTTCTCTCATCTGCATCACTATTTACGATTCTACTGTCTGTGCATCTAGCAATTAACCTATGCATTAACTAAGATGCTTATTGTTCCTAATATGATTTAAAAATGTCTTGTTGGCTTTAACCCTATTGGCCATTAATATTTCATTGATTCTTTGTACTTACCAGTTGCCTGCATTTTTTAACTTTTAACTTTAATTTATTGCTATTAACTTCCCCTTTTTGTGGTCTTTATATTTTGGTTTTTTTCTATATTTTATTGCTGCTTTCACATCTCCTTTTAACCAAGATAGTTTTTTGAGTCGTGTAATTTTTTTTTCAAGTTTGTGCAATTGCGTTTTTTCAGGCATCTAGTAGGATGGCCTTGTGTGATTCCCAATTGTTGTTAACACTTTCTGTCGGTTATGCTGACCAATTGCTTTAAGCTTTGGGTAACTGGCCCTTTTAAAGTTTTGAAGTGTACACATTACTGGTAGGTGCCATATTCTGTTAGTAGTCTGGCAGGGGTGAGGTGGACCATCTCTGGGCCTGATTTTAATGTTTTACTGCTATTACAGTAGCACCTAGGGAACTCCAGTTAGAGATCAAGGGCTCATTGTTGTAGGGTCTGAACACCCGCAATAGAAAGTGGATGTTGTGCTGCTGTCCTGCCACAGGAACAGCTGAGGGAAGGAATTGTGGCTTTAGGGAGCCATAACTACTCCCTGGTTTCCTCTTGTTCCAGACGGATAGTAATTTGCAGTCTCTTAGGTACTTACGTGGCCCCATTTGCTGTATTATGAGCCCCTTGCAATCTTTAATGTATTTATTCAACACCCCTGTGACGTAAGGAAGTACTATTTATTTCCATTTTACAGATGGGGGATTGAGGCACAGAGAAGCTAAATGACTTGCTGTAGTCTGTGGAGTAGCAGGGACTTGAACTCAGGTTTCCTCAGTCCTGGGTTAGTGCCCTAGCCACTGGATGATCCTTCCTGAACTATAACAGAAGCAAATTACTACCCACACCCTGTGAGGTAGTGCTCAGAAGGTGATCACATTGTATCCGGGGCCTCATCTGTAATGAATTCACTGATGATTTGAGGCCTGTTGACCACCAGTCTAGCGCTGATGAACGTCAACTTAATTTTTTGGTACTCATTTGTGTCGTGGTGGATGATGTCTGGCTATCGCAAATTGTAATCAGTTTGTTTCTGGATCTGTGTTGCTCTTTCCTGTGGGTATTCTGTGTTAGGTATTGTATAAGAGAGGGAAAGAGGCAGAAGATGAGCATGTCTGTTAGTGACATTGAACCTAATGTTTGCTAAAAGCCCTAGGGTTCCTGGACTGTGAAACTTCCATTCTTTAGCATGGATTTGTTGAGGAAAAAGGTCTTTAAATGTTGATTTTTTTTTTTCCAAATCACTTAAAGGCTGGAAAAACTGCTACCCTATTAAACCTTTCTGTAATGCAGCCAAAGAACAAACTGCCTTGGTGTATGTAGCATTAATAAGACCAACATGCTTTTAATATGGTATTGCCACAAATTAATGTTGAAATTAACTAACTGCGGTTTTTCACTTAAGATGCTGAAAGTTGAATCCTGTGTCATTTGGTTTATTGGGAGACAGTATTGTAACCAAAATATCTGTCTGCCCCTTTTCTCACCAGAATTCAATTATTGATGCTGGTCCCCTGCCTGGAGGGTTCATCTGAAGACTGCCCATGGACGATCGATGCTTATGTTTGCTGAAATTCTAGGATTCTTTGCTTTACTGTTTAATTTACTGAAGAGTCCATTTTTTCCCATGAGTCATCTTCCACCTCTGGAAAGATAGAGGTAAGTTTTCAGGTTTTTTTTCTTGTTCTTTCTCCACCTCAGGTGAAAATTGTTTAAACCTATCAGAGATGCCTTTTGCTGAGGCATCTCTAAATGTGGAATCAATCACTGGAACTGTTTAAAGCATTTTCTCTCTCCTCTGCATCCTAAGAGTTTGCTTTCTATGAATCAGACTGGCAGCCATTCTGTAGTGCATCGGCAGTTAAAAAAATCTGCCTTAGAAGTGCATAAAGGAAAAAATTACTGCAAAACTAGACCATATTGACTTGGTGTGCTTTAATGGCTAGTTGCTGCAATTGCAGAGTGAAGTATTGTGAAGGCGTAGACTATAACAGGGTTCAAAAAAAGAACTAGAGAAGTTCAGGAAGGATAGGTCCATCAATGACTATTAGCCGGGATGGGCAGGGATTGTGTCCCTAGCCTCTGTTTGCCAGAAGCTGGGAATGGACGACAGGGGATGGATCACTTGATGGTTACCTGTTCTGTTCGTTCCCTCTGGGGCATCTGGCATTGACCACTGTCGGAAGACAGGATACTGGGCTAGATAGACCTTCGTTCTGACACAGTATGGCCGTTCTTATGCATAGGCTACATACTCAAGCCGGGTATAGTGGCTTTAATTAGTTAACGTTACTCTCATGGTTTTTGACCTGCAGCTTTCAGAGCTTCTCTGTAGAAGACTTGAGTCCATAGTGTGTTTCCCAAGTCTCAAGCTTGTGTGTTTAATGTCAGGGACTAAATACAGTCTCTGGTGAAGGAACAGTATAGTCAGTATCCTTGTAGCCCTTACTAGCTGGTCTACGTAATGGCTTGGACATTTCTATAGCTTGTTAGCACCCAGCTATATTTTAATTTGAAGAAAAATTGCTGTAATAGAGTGAGCGCTACCTGGAACAGAAAAACTTAAATGAGCATAGTGGTAAAAATACCAAGAGCTATAAACGCCATCACCCTAAATTTAGACCTAAGTTCCTCCTGTGCCATTGACGTATTGGGCGGTCCAGTTCGTCCATTGATTGTGGTAATTGTGGTACTTCTTCCTCAGCAATGTCCACATCTTCAGTAACCTTTGTCACTGTCGTCTACCAGTTCTTGTTTGGCCTACATCATTTTCTATTCTATCCGGATACCCAATTCAATGCTTGCATAGTACATCTCCCATCTTCTATATGGTGTATGTGTCTCAACTGCCTGAGCTTTTTTCTTTGATATTTTCTAATACAACCTGCTGTGTCAGCTCCCTTACTCTCTGTTGTTGTTTTGTCTTTCCATAAAATGTGTAGTATCTTCCTCAGCCATCTCTGTTGGGCAACTTCCAGTTTCTTTGTTAGCTACTATCTTCAGCCAAGTCTCTGCCCTGCACAGTAGTGTACTCAGTACAATCACATGGTATAATCTGACCTTTAGTTTCGTTTTGAGACCTCGGTTTGGCCAGATGTTGATCATCCTTCCAAAAGTGGTGTTCACTTTTCCTCATCTCATCATCAAATATCATCACACTCTCCAAATAGCAGAACTCTTCCTGTTTCATTTTCTTTTCCAGCTGTGTATACCTTTGCATCTGTTATTCCATTTCGTACCTTCATAATCTTGTTTTTCCCTGCGTTTACTTTCAATCCAGTTTTCAGTGAATCACAGAATCCTAGAATATCAGGGTTGGAAGGGACCTCAGGAGGTCATCTAGTCCAACCCCCTGCTCAAAGCAGGACCAATCCCCAACTAAATCATCCCAGCCAGGGCTTTGTCAGGCAGGGCCTTAAAAACCTCTAAGGATGGAGGTTCCACGACCTCCCTAGGTAACCCATTTCAGTGCTTCACCACCATCCTAGTGCTTCTTTTTCTCTCTGATGCAAGGGCAGTCATTGTCTCCCACCTAGTAAAGCAATGTCATCAGCAAAGTTAAGATCATATAATTCATCTCCACTAACCCGTTCTATACTGTCCATGATACCTTTTGTTGCTTGCTTCATCACATAGTCTATTGGTAATGCTAAAAAGATTGTTGTTAACACACACCCCAGTCTAAGTCCAATCACAATATTGAGCTATACACCCAAACCTGTATCTGATCTTACTGTGCATCTACTTTCATCATATAAACTCCTTATTATGTTGATCTGTTTGTCTGATATCTCATAGATTCTAACAGTATTCCACAGTGTTTCTTTATAGACTCTGTCAAGTACTTCCTTAAAGTTGTTTAAGAAGGGTTTTTTGCCAACCAGTAGCTTTTTCGATGCTCCATCAAAAAGTTTAACAGTCATATGTTTACAACATGGTCTACCTGGATGGAACCCAGGCTGTTCTTCTTGTAGTATTTCACCCACTGTCATCTTCATTCTCTTCAGCCTAATGGTAGCTAATACTTTGCCCAGGATTGACAGCAGTGCAATACCTCTACAGTTTGTGCACTGAGTAAGATCACCCCTTTGTCGCAATACCACAATACCACCATCTTGTGGCACTTGTTCTTTCACCCATATTTCTTCAGAGTTTTGTGGGCTGCTCAGTCAAAGGTGGCTGCTTCCCACTTTTAGTACCCCTGTTGGAATTTTGTCAACCTCAGGAGCTTTCCCCTGTTTGAGGGTGCTTTAATTTCATTGGATGTTATTGGTCCCTCTTCTGTTTCTAACTTAGCACTGGCATTTCTATACACCCTGTGCACAGTCATCATCTCTGGACAGTTTAATATGAAAGGAAATGTTCTTTCCACCAGATGTTGAAAATGCATGAAGAACAGGCCAAACAATTACCTCTCCCCGCCCAAAAAACCACAATGGGGAAAATAATCATGCAGGTATTATCACGAGGTGAGCAGTTATACTAATGTATACAATGTAGCTAATCTTTCACTCACCAAGAGTTTCTTCAGAAGCTTTCAAATAAAGTCCATTGTCCAGAACCAGGTTGCACTAGGGTTGGAATGCAAACTAGAATTTCTCGATTTTTTTTTAAGTAGGCTTGAAATGTCCCTTGCTTGACTAAAATTCACGATATTATCCTTGAATAGAATACAGATGCTGTGTAGAAGTATGATGCTGTTGTTGGTCTCCTTCATAGGCTGATTTTGTTACTGGAAGGATGTCTGTGGGTTAATAGGTGGCTAATGGACTCAGGTACCCTACGTACTGTTCTTGACTCTGCCACACACTTGCTGCATGGTGTTGGGTGATCCATAGGAACATGGGATGGAAAGGGAACTCGTAGGTCATCGAGTCCAGTCCCCCGCTTATCATTTGACCTCTCTATGCTTCAGTTTCTCCATTTGTAAAATGAGGGTAATAATATGTAACCCCATTGTAAAGCTCTTGGAGATCTTTAATAGTAAAATGAGTGAATGAAGAAGAAAGTATTACTAATGATCATTATTTCACTTAATTTGTCAGGTTTCAGACTCCCTGTGCAAAGAACAACTGTGGCTTTCTGATTAGTTACTAAGTTCAAAGACATTTCTATGAGTATTTGTTCTTACAATAAAAAAAAAAGTCTCAGAATTTGGTGAGCATAGCACTTAGTACTGAATGCTCCACAGCTCTGCTCACTGTTTTCACTTCACTGCTTATTTTCTGGACAGATCTCTTGTCAATCTGGAATCAGGGTTTTACAGAGCAATAAATAGACTCCTTCTACCCTTCCAATTTTAAAGGTTTTTTTTAATGAAAAGAAAAATGTATTTGGACGTAAAACAAGCAAAAATGTAATCACATTAAACAAAAGCTTTCTAATATTATCCTTAAGATTTATACATAACATAAAATGACTATTGATGGCTCTAAGCCTTTGTAGTATATTTAAAACTCAGTCACCCGAATAAAAACAAAAATATATGTAGCCAGCCCTACCAAAATCAGGAAGAAAACCCAAACCTACTACATCTATGAATACCCAGTTCTCAGGGCACAAAGCAAAGCTATCAGCCCACTATCCCCTTCTTGAAGCTTGGGGAAAGGATGTGCTTTACAGGGTGCCCAGAAGGTCAACAAACTTGGGCTATTTGGGACCAGAGGCCCCTTGCAAAGCGTTCCTAGCCCCAGCTCTATTTCTTTTACACTGAGCAATGGCACCACGGACTGGACCTGCAGCAGTATCAGACAGGGAGAGAGGTGCCTCTCCAGTACGTCAGTTCTAAACCATTCAGAGTTTCATATGTCAAAACTGAAACTCCACTCAGAAGCTAGCAAACAGCAGAGATCCCAGAGCACTGCAGTCACCTGCTCAGAGTGAGAAACTCCACGTGATTAAGTGAGCTACCACATTCTTTGCTGGCTTCAGTTTCCAGTTGACTTGAGATGCAGTCCCACATAAAGTGAATTTCAGTAATATAATCTCAGCGACGAAGGCATGGATCACGCTAGCAGAGTTCTGATGTGGGAGAAATGGTTGCAACCTCCTGCCCATACATTGATTAAAAAAAGTAACATACTATTGGCTACTTTTATAGCTACTGTACATTGTATTTGAGGTTGTATTGTAAAGTTTGGTAGTGTAATCTCCCAGTCACCGTTGAAGACGAGGGAGGAGGTAGTGTCTGACAAGTCTGCATTTGAAGTCAAACTGTTGTATAAATAATGTAATAAAATGGATGGTCAACTTTATAACAAAAGGTCTTTTGTACATATTCTTTTTGAAGAGAAAAACCATTTTGGGGAAAAAGTATCAGTGATGTACATAACTTGGCTGTGGAAGGCCATTATGTTATTGACCCTCATTAGATTGCTGCTGCTTGGAATTTCCACAGAAGTATAGAATTGTCTAACGCTCATGCATTTAAAACAGTCTATTATTGAAAATGAGTGAGTGAAAATTAGGTTTTTGTGTTTTAATGCTGAATTATACATGTATATCATGGTTGGAGAGTCAGACTTGGATTGTTTTGCATGAATAAAACTGAAGAACATGTCTCCTCTTCATGTTCCTGTTAGAGAAACTCATCAGAAGTATTTATGATTTACTCTAGAAAAGTTGCATTATGAATAAAAAGAAATTCCACTTGATAATGT